ATGTTATTAAGTTGTTTAATAATTAAGTTAATAATTTAAATTTTCTTCTTATTTTCAGGTCTGATGATATTTTAATAGATGCAATTAAAAACAATTTCCCTTATTTCACTTTACCTGCTTACAAACAAATGGCATATTTATATAATATATTAAAAATAATTCAGTATCAATCTGATTTACGCATAAATATTTTACAAATAGCATTCAATAAATTAATACTTTTAGATGTTAATTCCCCTAGGGAAGATATTTTACAATATGAAGAATCCTCTGATGGCATTCTCTATGATGAGGAAGAAGAAGAAAGTAATTCGAAACCTAAAATGAAACACCCAATTGCAAATGCTCTTGATTTAATGATAAACGTTTTGTTTAAATTTATTAAAAGGGAGTGTTTTTCAAATGAAAAATTTAATAAACAAAAATGTGTAGAATTATATAATGACTTATTAATAGTTTTTGAAAATGTGATACTTCCAACCCATCAATGCCATCATATACAATTTGTTATGTTTTACATTTGTAGTTTTGATACAAATGTAGCTAGTGATTTTTTAAAATTTCTTTGGAAAATAGTAACTTTGCCCAATATTTCACCTGTGATCAGACAGACGGCAGTAGGTTATATATCTAGTTTTTTGGCTAGAGCTGGGTTTTTGTCTTTAGGGTAAGTTTTATTCAAAACTCTCTGTTATAAATTTGTAAAGAACTTTGTTTTAAATATTACATTTTTTTTTAGGTATTTAAAAAATTATTTAATTAAACTTAGTGATTGGATACATAATTATATAACATTACAAGATTCTTCGTTAGAGTGCCAATTAGATTTTAAACAGCATTGCGTTTTTTATTCTATTTGTCAATCAATGTTCTATTTAATAGCATTCAGGCATCAGGATTTATTAAATTCATCAATAAGTATGTTTTTAAATTATTGTTCACACAATTATTACCTGATTTTATGAATTCCTTTTAAAAATTTTGTTTTATTTATACTTTTTTTTTTAGAATTAGTATTTCTTCAAAGTTTGAATATACCGAAAATAGTATCGAGCAAATTAAATCCTCTAAAATTTTGTATACCTAGTATAGTGGAAAATTTTGCAGCTATTACAAGAGCATACCAGCTAGCTTATTGTTACACTATTATAGAAAGTAATTCAAGAAAAACATTACCTCTTGTAGGTAAAGGTGGACAATTCATCATTAATTCAATTGTAGATATGTATTTTCCATTCGATCCCTACGTTTTATTAAGGTAAGAAATTTAAAATTTCCGAAAAAAAATTTTAGAAATATTTGTTTGTAACAACATAATTATACCTTTATACTCAAAGTGATTTAGTATTTATTATTTAAATAACTTTATTTTCAGAACAAGTGAACTTATTACTCCCTTGTATAGGGAATATAAGTCATCATTACAAGATATCACAAGCATCAATTCAAAAAAACGAAGACTATGCAGTGGAACAGAAGATGAAGATGATTTTCTAAAAGAAGAAGTTCCTTTAGAAAATACCGAAATAGTGCTTTAAAAAATTAAATATGATTTATTTAAAGTTGAATTTAGATGTATTATTTAACTTATCCTGTGAAACTGTCCTTAATTATTTACTTACCTACTTAGTTTTATGAAAATAAACTATAGATTCATGCTGTTATTTAAAATTAATTGACTTAATATTGAAAAAATTCATGTTATTTTTGCTTAAAAAAAGTTTATATTTCCATTAAAAAATTTTAATTTTAAACAAAATATTAACTTATAAGTAATTTTTAATAAAAAAAACAACTTTTGATAAATATTTTTTAAAAATCAAGCTGTAATCAATTACAGAAAAATTACTTTTCTTAACTTATTACACATAATTTAACAAAGAGTAATAAATTTAAAAAAAAAACCTTTATACACTCTATGGTATAGTTGTATTCTTCTGCTGTTTCTGTATAGGTTGTTAAAAAATGAAGAATAGTGGAATAACATTTAAAAATTTAGTTTTACATATGAAATGTGTTAGACACTTTTCAGAACAATCTTCTTTTTTAATTCCTTGGACAAAATCACCAACCGAAAAAAATAGAGAATTGTTTTTAAATTTTATGAGTAAAAATAGTAGTGTAGCAGTTTTAACTGGTGCTGGAGTTTCTACAGAAAGTGGTATACCTGATTATCGGTCAGAAACTGGACTTTATAAAAGGACAAAATATAGGCCCATTGATTATTCTACATTTTTAAAAAATAAAGCGGCTCGAATAAGGTATTGGGCTAGAAATTACGTAGGATGGCCTGAATTTTCTAGTAAGGAACCTAATGGAACGCATTTTGCTTTGCAATTGTATGAAGCTGCTGGAAAAGTTAGTGGAATTATTACCCAAAATGTTGATGGTTTACATCACAAAGCTAGTGGACATAATATTATTGAACTTCATGGAAATGCATATTGGGTCAAGTGTCTGAGTTGTAAAAATTTGATATTTAGGCATGATTTTCAAAAAATTCTCGATGCTTTAAATCCTTCAGTTCAAGAAACTGGAAAAATTTTTGTTAGACCTGATGGAGATGTCGAGATTGATGAGGTATGTTAGAATTTACTTTATTTGTTAAATTAGAAATAAATATTTTTTATTTCTTTCATGTTTTTTTTTTTTGTATTTGCAGAGTGTTTATGAAAACTTTAAAATTCCAGATTGTGAAAAATGTGGAGGTATTTTAAAACCAACAATTGTGTTTTTCGGAGATAATGTACCTAAAGTGACTGTAAAAAAAGCAGAAAATTTAATTGAGAGCTCTGATGCTCTTTTAGTCATGGGTACAACATTATCTACATTGTCTAGTCTTAGAATTGTGACTCAAGCTTTTGATTTGTGCAAATACATTTGTATTGTTAATTTGGGGGAGACAAGGGGTGATAAAATGGCCGATATAGTTATAAATGCTAAATGTAGTGAAATTTTACCAAATTATAATAGAGAATTACATGCATATCGTTCTTAATATCAAAAATATTTTGTATTAAGTCTAATTCAAGTAAGTGATAAAATCATATTATGTTTAAATTATTAAACATTTAAGAAATCTTGTTAATGTTTAATAACAAGGAAATTTTTGTCTCACCTAATTATAAATAGTCTTTGCTCTTCAAATATATTATAAATCACAAGGCAAAAAATTATACTAATTTTCAGTATAGCAACTTCCATATTCTGTAATTGAATTTTTGTTTTTTAACTACTACTGAGTGATTATTTGTAAAATTTGTAATTTGAATCAGTTTAACAAGAAAAAATATTTTAATACCCATGAATTTCAATAATTTTTATAGATTTACTTCGGAAATTAAATATGAAATCGTTAAGGACTTAAATAAACTTTTTTTTTTTTTTATCTGTAATATAATTTATTGTGCTCGAAAACAATCATTGTCAAAATATGTAATACATTAAAAATATACAAACATTTATTTGAAAATAAAAATACAATAAGAGTTGAGTTTTAAAAATTAAATACCATAGATTTAAGGAGTTTTTAAAAAATAATTACCAAATTGTTCATGAATTAATTATATATAAAGAAACCTTTTTGTCAACATTTTATTGTAAAAAAAAACTTAGATTAAAATACATTTAATGAAATATTAAAATTTTTTTTTTTTCCCATTTAAAATAATAAAGGAATTCATGATGTTATTTACAATGAACAAAATTTACATTTTACATTTTCTACAGAGTTTTGGTGTTGAATCTACTGAAACATTGTGTATTCGAGTATAAAAAAAAATGATAATACAAGCCGCTGAATAAGAGTACTTATAAAAAATAATCTGCTTGTGGTTTTTTCAATGGTATTCCACGACTTTCTTGAGGAGCAGCTTCAAATATTGTAAAATCTCTTTGTAAGTGCTCATTCAGTTCTAAAATAGCAGCAACATTTCCACATCTATAACAGTAATTTGGAGCAGACCAAACTGTTAATACAGTCTCATTAAAATGCCATTTAAAACCTTCCATAACCAGTTGATGAGCCCTAAAAAACAACAAGTCAAAAAAAGAGTCAATTTTAAGTGTAAAAATTAATTTTTTATGAAATCTAAATATTAATAAAATTTAAAAAAGACAACAAGTTTAGTGAAATCCTTACCTACAAATCATGTCTATATCATTAGCAGTGTTGAATTGTGCTACCACATCAGATCCGAATAAAAAACCAGCTCCTCTAGGGCTCACACCCCAACCTTGCGTATCTAAATCCAAAATTATTTTTAAAATTAATTTAATTTGTTTTATGTTTAACAAAAAATTTATTTTTTGAGCACACATAAATCCTATATTTACCCTCAGGATCACTCCAAAGTAAATCGCACATGGGTCCGTCATGTGGCACTTCTTGCTTTCTATCGATTGTACGTATTTGATCAAGTGTGTGTATACTAGGACTTAAACCTCCGTGCACACAAAAGATTTTACCATCTATGATTGCGGACAAACTTAAATAATCAAAAATCTCTGTACAGTATCGCCACACTGCAATAGACCCATATTTACGTAAACATTCATCATAAAATCCATAAACTTGAGTTATTTGTCTTGATTCATGATTTCCTCTGATTAATGTAATTCTATCAGGATATCGAACCTAGATTATAACGATATTATATACTCGCTGCTTCAATTAAATTAAATTTTTTAAGTACGTTGATTATTACCTTCAAAGCAAGAAGTAGTAAAAATGTCTCTACACTATAAAAACCTCTGTCTACAAAATCACCCATAAATAAATAATTTGTTTCAGGAACATCTCCACCTACTTTAAAAAGTTCTTTGAGATCATAAAATTGTCCATGAATATCTCCACATACCTAGTTTTATATTAAATAGTCAGGTAAACAAAATCGAAAATACTACAATTTTTCAAATATATTCGAATACTTCGAATGTATATATTATAACTCACAGTAACTGGAGAATCCACTCGCTGCACATTGCTTTCTTCTATTAAAATTTCTCTGGCTTTGGCACATAATGCTTTTACTTCTGATTCCTTAATTATTTCACACTTTTTTAATTGTTCAATTTGCCTGTCCAATTCACTAGTTTCAGACATTTTATCTGAAGGTTTGGACTCCCTTCCCTAAAATTAGTATTTTATAAATAATTAAAATCATTTTTCTTTTATTTAATAAATCAAGTTTTTAATAAATAAAATTTTTAACTGTCTCTAATAAAAGTGTTAACGAAAAATATTTTAAAGTGTTTTCACATGGAAAAAGTGAAAATTGTAAGTTACAAACGAAAATATAAAAAATGTTTATAAGGAAAAATTGTTATTTACTTATTGAAATTAATCATAGTTAATTATTACAGTTAAAATTAAAATAAAATTGTTTTTTTAAGTTTTGAAAATGCTACATGGCTCATCTTGTTTACAAACCTACGATCTTAAATGCCAAAGCTTTTTATTTTTCCGGCAAATTATTATTTTAACCTTAATATATATTCACCATTAAACAAAAATAAAAATAAATAGTTAATAAAATTTAAATAAAAAAAAATATTCGATAAAAATAATATGAGTAAATTGTAAAAATTAGTCAATTTTTCTAAAGAATAGTACAACACTCGTGAAGTGCCAACACCATTTACATTTTATGTAAATGTAAAAAGGGCCTAAATGTATGTGTACGTTTGATGTTTTAGTACCTTTTGTTTGCTCATGATTGCAGTGCTTCGCTCCGCTATTGTAAATGAAATTCGACAGTTTTTTTTTAAAACTGATTTTATTGAAGTGGGTACATCTGTAAAAAAAAAAAAACAAAATTATTTTTATTTTTTTTGCGGAAAACATAAGGGTTAATAAGTTAATTAATAAATTGAATAGTTAAAATCGTTAGAATTTTATAATGTAATGACGTCATAAAACATCCCCTGACGTCACTTTGTAGTTTGGAATTCACGGGCAGTCCGCCATTTCATCCGGTATTTTTTGTTTATATTAATTTTTGGCTAAGAAAAATCGCTTCGGTTTTTGTAATAAAAAGTAAAGTTTTTTGTGAAAATCTTATAAAATTGTTTTTGGTTTTTTTAAATAATCTATTTGTGCTTTATAAAGTGGTTTAAAGTGAAGTTTTCAGTAATATTTTATAAGTGATTTAAATAGCGGTGATTATCACTAATCAGTTTAAAATTTATTTCAGTGTAGTCTATCATTTTATAAATTGCATTAAAATGTAAAAATTTTTAATTTAAATATCTTTTTTAGTTGAAAATTTAGTGTTTTTTCTATGTTTTTAATAAGTAATACGTTGGTATTTACTAAAGTTTGCTTAATGTTATATTAAATTTAGTTTAACCAGAGTAGATATTAATAGATGAAATGGGTAATATCTATACAGTAGGACCGAATGAGGCTTTAATAGTTTCAGGTAAGGGACCCATTTTATATATTTGTATTAAAAGAATTAAGTATTTAGTAGTTATAAAATAATATAATTAAAAAGTATAATGCAAATAGTTAAATTTTATCCTTAAATTTATTAATTTTTGTTTCGACAAAAAGTTCAGGAATGAAATGTAATTTTAGTACACATATAAACTTATATATCATGAATTTTCCTTAAAAATTTTTATAAAATTGACTTTTTTTATACAATACAGGATAAAAGTAAAGTAATTCATCCAAAAATGAATTACTTTTTACTAATTTAATTATATTATTTTATATATGGCATAAACTAGTGATTTAGTATAAATGGTTGAATTAATGATCGAGAACTTGGTTTATGGATCATGTTGAAATTTAATTTTTATAATTTGTGTTTTGTGAAACATACCAGATTTCAATGATTACTTTCTCGGCTTGTAATTTTTCCAAAGTCTTAAAAAAAATAATTAACAAAATCGCAATGAATTATTAATTCATTAAAATATATTTTTTAAAAATATCAAAAACAATTTAAAACTCCATTGTTTTACAAATTATTATTATTGTCATTTGTTATTTTGCTGCAAATCATATAAATTTTAAAATTACATTTATTTCAAGTTGGTAATTCTACTACATTCGACTGTTTTTTTTTTTTTTCAATACAGTGTAATTAAGAAAAAATTATTTTTTATTTCGATATGAAGTTAATATGTTTTAACAAATATCATACAATTGTTTAACAGTTATCGATTTTAAATTCTATTTAAAATTTAGCTTGTGAAAAATATATTTAAGAAAAATTTTCTTATATTTATAAAAAAGTCTAAAAATAAAACTTTGTTCAAACTTGCACAATTTTAAGCGATAAATGTATTTAAATGACTTTACATTCGATATTTGTTAGAAATGAATAAAACATTTTGCTTACACATTTACAATCGAAGTAAAATAATATGGCACAATATTTTTTTTTTTGTTGAAATAAGTAAAATACCAATTTACTCAATTCTATATATATAAGAAATTAAAAAGTATAAATGGAGTATAAGTGAAACATAAAATAACATGTATCATGTATTGTTCAGCCATGATTGCTTTATCATATCACTCGCTTTTTCACCTATCATGTATGCTGCTGCCATTGTATGTGCTGTAACTAACTTTGGAATGATTGATGTATCTACCACTCTTAAATTTTTAATTCCGTAAACTTTTAGTTCTGGTGATACAACTGCTGTAGTGTCAGAGGGGGGTCCCATTTTACACGTTCCCGATTGATGATGCAAGGTGGTCAGTAAACTTTTCACTGCACATTTCCAGTATTCGTCCGAGTTGAGATTAAATTCTTCACATCCTAAAAACGCACAAATATTTTTTTTATATTTTATTTATTACCCAAAAAGTTTTATAAAATTCTTTTTTTGTTTTTTTTACCTGAAACCGGAAAAGGATTGAGAAATGACCCGTACTTTTGAAAAGCTTTTGTTTGACTCATATTAACTACCATTTTGACACCTTCGACTAAAGTATTCAGATCGTGTTCATCTTGGAAATAATTGGCGTAAAATTTTGGCCAATCATAAGGACTGTTACTTTTTAGTTTTAAATATCCTTTGCTTTTTGGATGGAGAAGCATTGGCCAAACTGTCCAAGTTTCCCTGTTTTCTAGAGGTCTTAATTTAAAATTGTATTAATTTCATTTTTTTGAAATCTATTGATTATTTTAATTTAAAAAAAAAAATTATTTCTTACTTGTACGTTTTTTCGTAAATTTCATCCGTTATTCCAATACCTTTTCGCAAAAGGAGTCCATTATCGTTTGGAATGGATGCACTTGCGAAAATAAATTCAATATCCGGTCTTCCTCTCTGATCATCATTGAGCTTAGTGCTTATATATCCTAAACCTTCTACTCCTCCAAGTAGAGTCAGAACCCCTGTAAAATTTTAAAGATAAATTATTAAACTAACGAGACTTTATTTTTTTAAAAATACTGTCGGTAAGTGCATAAAGTACAACGTAATTAAAAACGTTTTTTAAATTTTATAAAGGGGGGGGGGTTTGTATGATGCATGAATTTTAGTACGCATAAATAAATATTAGAAAAGCTTTTATTTTGAATAGAGTGTGAATTATTACTTGAAAATTTTGTTAAATAATTTATGAATCTTGGCATGCAAGTTTTTAATAGTCTTACCTTTTCCTCTTTCGAAAAACTCGATAAAATTATTAAAATTAAATAAACTGTTTGTAGAAACTCCGACATTAGTTTGATTGATTAAAAATGTAAGACCGCTATAACAAATATGCTCTTGTAAATTTTTTCCAACTCCTTCTGAATTTTGTAACACGGTTATATTCAAACTTTCGAGATCACTTTTGGGCCCTATTCCTATTGGTAAAAAAAAAAAATCTAAAGGTACTCATACATATAGTGCACAATCAAATTTAAATTTGTATTTACAATACCTGAAAGCATTAACAGTTGAGGCGATTGTAAAGCTCCTGCACTCAGTATAACTTCTTTTTTGGCGAGCACTCGATGAGTTTTTCCATTTTTAACCATTTCCACACCGTACGTTCTTTTGGTTATGGGATCGATCAATAATTTTGTGGCCAAAGTTTTAAGCGTAATTTGCAAATTAGATCTATATTTTATCGGTCTTAAATATGCCCTTTCGGCTGAAAATCTACGACCGTTTTCCACGGTACCCTGTACTTTAGCAAATCCCAAGGGAGGTGTTCCATCGTTGTAATCTATTAATTTATAACCTGTTTGAAATTTTTGAATGCAATTAGTGCGAAATATCTTGTTTAATTTCTAATTTAACGAAAATAAAAAAATCATCGTGAACGTAGGTAGTTTTTTTACCCATTTCTTGACCAGCCTGTAAAAAAGCATCTATGAGTTTTGTCTGATACGGTAGAAAATCAACCGTTACAGGTCCTTCTTGTCCGTGACTCACAGAATGACGGAAATGAGGAATTCTGCTTTTTTCCGATTTGACAAAATAAGGCCAAACATCTTTATATCCCCATCCCTCATTTCCATCTCTTGCCCATTCATCGAAATCTTCTTTGTTTCCTCTTGTGTAAATCATGTAATTAATCACAGACGTACCTTTTAGGCAGAGAGAGAGAGAGAGAGAGAAACGTATGATTTTTGAAACTTTTTATTTAAACATTTTTTTTCGATGTGCGTCGTCATACCTCCTAAACATTTTCCTTTTGGCCACCTACATCTTCCTTCTTCCATACCCATGCAAACTCCCTCTTCTCGTTCCGCTTTGAATCCCCAATTGTATTCTGATAGGACGCCAATACTAGCCAACATTGGTATATCTAAAACCAAAGTCGGTTCTTTTCCAGCTTCCACTAGTAAAACATTCCAATCCGATATTTCACTCAAACGGTTGGCGACAGCAGCACCAGAAGGTCCAGAACCGATCTAACGAGTCATTTTCATTTTTGGGGACATTAAAAAAAATTATTTAAGTCATGATTTTTTTTCTTCGTTGTTTTCCATTAGCTTTTCTTTATCATTTCTTTAAAAAAAATTTTTTTACTCACCACAATAAAATCGTATTCTTCCTCGATGGGAGATTGTTTGTAAAATGATTCGTCCGTACCGAAAACGTAATTTTTATGCAATCGAATCCATTTTTCAAAAATTAAATTTAAATTTAAATTATTTGCCGTTAAAATTAAAAATAAATTTAAAAAATTTATGTAACGAAAAATATTATTGATCATGGTCGCGACGATTGTTTTTTACATTTATTTTAAGTCAAGTTTTTTTTTTTTTTTTCCTTGAAAAAGTTGTTCCATTATTTTTCTCCTCCCACCTTTTGATTATTTTACTAATAAAATATTAGTCGGGGGGGTTAACAACCGTGTGTTTCTTTTATTTCGATATTGTTGAGTGCGAAAGCATTGTAAGTTGACATTTTTTTTTAAATTAGGTGAACAAATGTAAACATAACACGTACAAAATAATTCGTACATTTTTTGCATGCAAATGTGTAAAAAATAAAAAACCGTTGTTACGGGATAATTTTGGGAGTTGCAATATCAAAAAAACAATTATTGATGACAGATTTTTTTTTAAAAGGGTAATTCATACCTAAAATTACAATTTGTTCCTGGACTTTTTTGGAAAATGGACATAGACTTGTTTTAACATGAACGTTTTTTTTTTCGTTTCTTTTATTTATTTTATCTTAACGAGGTAGTTTAATGATAATTCTGTTTGAAAAAAAAATTTCAATTTATTTTTTGAAATAAGTGTTCGTGTTCTCACATTTGAATTTATTTTAAATAAATGCTTTTAGGCTTTTAAGTCTTTAAATAAGATTTTAACTTATTTAAGAAAATCAATTATTTGTGATTTTTTGAGCATTTATTCGTTTCAGAGTATAATTTAAGAAAATTATTAATTTTTTTTTCTTGTTCTTTTTCCTTAACAGTTTTTTTCCTTTAAAATTTTTTTATTACTTTGCATAAAAATTCGATTTCAGACCATTTATCGTTTTAATTTTTCAGTTAAGTTTTTATTTCCAATTGTAAAATTTTACATAATGTACGGACAAACACGTGAAAAGATGGTGAAGGAGTGATAGGTTTGACATTTTAATAATTTTTCTAATGGAGGAAACGAATGAAAACATTAAAATATTTTTATTTAAATAAATATGGTTTTCTAAATATCTAATGTAGTAGTTTCTGTATGTTTTGTTTTATTGTCGTAAATCAAAAATGGAACAGGCACGAAATTAGTTTATTTACGTAAAAATTTTGTTTTTGTTTATAGTTTCGATAATCATTAATATTTCATTTTCCCTAAAATCGTTAATTTCTAATGGAAATTTTATCAGTCTTATTTACAAGTAGTTTATCATGTCCCAGTCTTCTTTAATCATGTCTGAGCCTTTTTCGGCTATCATAAAAGTTGGAGCATTGGTATGAGCAGTCGGAATTAATGGCATTATACTAGCATCTATTACTCTTAAATGTTTAATTCCCCTCACTCGCAGTCTTTCATCTACGACTGCGTTCGGGTCAGAGGACGGTCCCATTTTACAAGTTCCCACGTGATGGTAAATGGTAAATGTAAAGTGCTTTGCGTAGCATTCCCAGTACGCGTCCGTGTCGAATCCTAAATTTTTGCACGGTGGCAACGGTTTATCATGCAATTTAGCTCCTAGTTTTCTAAACGACGGAGTTTTAACTAATTTGTTTGCCATACGAATGCCGGCCACGGCGAGTTTGATGTCGTATCCTTCGGGATCCGAAAAATAATTTGGGTAAATTAACGGATGGTGAAAAGGATTGTTGTCTCGAAGAATGATGCGACCTCTAGATTTGGGTCTCATCGTGAGAGGCAAAATCATAAACGAATCCTTACCCTCGATCGAACCGTACATTTGTTGATATAACTTTTCGTCTAAATTGAAATTTTTATGAAGCGTGTCGTCGGATTCGATTCCTCCCGACGCCAAAAGAAGTTCTAGGTCTGGATACCCGTCGGTATCGTTCATGTTACGTAAATCTATAAAACCCAAGGCTTCGCAGCCTCCGGGAACTGTAAAAAGTCCATTGTGAGAAGATAAATAATCTGTTATGTGCTTTCGAACTCCCAACATTCTGTTGAATATTATTGAGAAAGGATAATCTATCAAATAAGATAATCCTCCGGTGGCCGTATGATCTTGAAGGTTGTAACCCACTTTAGCGTTTTTAATAACTTTTATACTTTTATTTTTCAAATGATTTTCGGGTCCGATTCCGCTGAGCATTAAAAGTTGAGGAGAATTTATTGCTCCCCCTGAAACAATCACTTCTTTTTTTGCTTTGACGAAATATTTTCTGCCGAATCGTACGAATTCAACTCCCATGGCAGTTTTCGTTTTAGGGTCGATGATTATTTTCGTCACCATGCTATTCTTTTTCACATGCAAATTCGGTCTTTCGTGAATTGAATGCAAATAAGCTCTAGAGCTACTCCATCTGGTTCCATTTTGCATTGTCACTTGAAGATAATTAAAGCCAATTTGAGTCGGACCATTAAAGTCAATTATCGGTTGACCTATGGCTTGACCAGCTTCCACGAAAGCGTCCGCAATCGGTGTCTTGTATGGAACTTCCGTAATCGTTAAATAACCGTTCGTGCCGTGATATTTGCTTCGTGCGATTTTCGGGATTTGTATATTTTCCATTTTCCTGTAGTAATACGAGACGTTGTTCCATCCCCAACCTTAAAATTTTAAATTATTTCGTTTAAGGATTAAAAATGATTGATTTGTTTTGTTGTTAACATTTTTTTTTTTTGATATTAGTTTTACCCTTGTTGCCCATGGCTTCCCACTCGTCGAAATCTCTCCGATTTCCCTTCGTGTAAATCATGTAATTAAGTACGCTACTTCCTCCCATTACTTTTCCTCTTGGCCAGTGGCAGCGTCCACCTTTCATTCCCAAACAAGACGAAGTCGAGGGTTGCGTTCTGTATTTCCAATTGGCTTGGGAAAATTGTAAAAAATTTGCCACTATGGGAATATCCATTAAAAAATGTTCTGGTCCTCCTGCTTCTATCAAAAGCACTTTCCAGTCGGGTACTTCCGTCAATCGATTTGCCAAAACGCAACCCGCCGTACCTGCTCCTATTATTATGAAATCATATTCCTAAAGAAAATTATTTTAAATCAAATTATTTCGGTGAAACGAAAATGTAAAATGTGTTTAAATTTTTTTTTTTTTTTTTTGGACAAAATCAATAATGGTTTCCTTTTTTTTTTTTTGTTTCAAATTGATTGAATTTAAAACTAAGTCTACTTTAAAATAAAATTTTGTCAAATCAGACGACATTTAAATTTTTCAGTACTTAATGTAAGGTCATTTCAATTTAAACGTTTTAAATTTGAGTGAAATGTAATAAAACATCATTCGTAAAAAATTACTTGGAACGCTCGGTCAAAATTTTTTTACAGTCCTAAGCTTTTATTAAGATTTAGTTTAAAAAAAAAAAAGTTTTTCTTATTTTATTTTTCCTGGAATACGAAAAACGATGGAATTTTCCAATAATGAAAATCAAACCGAAAAAGATATTCCAATTATTTATCAATTAAATCAAGAAGACACAAATTGGTTGATGACGTCGTCCTTCATTATTTTCACTATGCAAACGGGATTCGGTTTATTGGAGTCGGGTTGCATATCTTTAAAAAATGAGGTTAACATCATGATGAAAAACGTTGTTGACATAGTGCTCGGAGGATTTACGTATTGGCTCTTTGGATATGGACTCAGTTTCGGAAGAGGAAAATACACAAATAGTTTTATCGCCTTTGGAGATTTTGCCATAGATGCAAACGTCGGGGATCCTCTCATGGGAGCAAAATTGGCGGCATTCATTTTTCAATTATCTTTTGCCACGACTGCAACAACAATCGTTTCCGGAGCCATGGCCGAACGATGCAATTTTAAAGCGTATTGTTTATTTTCATTTCTTAACACCGTGGTTTATTGCGTGCCCGCCGGATGGGTTTGGGGAGAACACGGTTTTTTATATAAACTGGGAGTCGTCGACATCGCCGGATCGGGACCCGTTCATGTAGTGGGCGGGAGTTCAGCTTTTGCTTCGGCATTCATGTTGGGACCCAGATTGGGACGTTATTTAAAAGGAATGGAATCTTTACCATTAGGAAATCCCATAAATTGTTGTATGGGACTATTCGTTTTGTGGTGGGGTTGGTTGGCTTTCAACTCTGGAAGTACTTATGGGATTTCCGGATCGAAATGGGAATTTGCGGCCAAAGCGGCTGTTAATACCATGTTATCTTCGTTCAGCGGAGGATTGTTTGGATTAATTTACTCTCTCGCTTTTCAAAATGGCAACATTGACATACTTCATCTGATAAATGGAGTTTTGGGATCCCTCGTTTCCATTACGGCGGGTTGTTATTTGTACACGGCTTGGGAATCATTAATAATCGGCTTTGTCGGATCATTTTTAACAAATGTTAGTACGCCGTGGTTCATACATTTAGGACTTGACGACCCCGTGAGTGCTACGTCCGTGCACGGATTATGCGGTCTTTGGGGTGTCTTAAGCGTTGGAATTTTTGCCAGAAGCGCTGACCCTTTACCCACGACGAGGGGAAGAAACGGACTTCTCTACGGCGGAGGATGGTACCTTCTCGGAGTTCAATTTTTAGAATGCATTTGCTTGTCTGCCTGGGCCATAGTCACGACTTTGATATTGCTTTGGGTGGTTAATCTGGTGTTACCCATAAGAATGAAGGAACACGAAGAATTGATAGGAGCCGATTTGGTGGAACATTATATTCATCACAAAAGCGTCGGTATCGAGGATGTACTCAAGGTATTAAGCGTACACGATGAAGAATTGAAAATATACTACGAAGTTCCGGAAACCGGAAACAATCCGGGTCACGAGGCTTTTCTGAACAAAAAATACGTTCAAGACGTTCACAAGAGTAATTTAAAAAAAAATAATTTGCGACTCAGCCATTTGAATTTATTCGGACCGAGTAGAAAAATAAAAACTTCGGATTTTGAAATCGATAAAAATATAAACGAAGGTCGGATAATAAAAACAGGTTGGATGTAAAAAAAAAAAAAAAAATATTTTTATCACGAGAATGTAATATTTTTTTTCATAAAATAATTGCAAAAAAAAAAAAACTGCTTTTGTTCAGATTCGTAAAATCTGTGTGTAAAAAAAAAAAAAAAGTACGTATTTTTAATTAATTTATTTACCTTGTATAAAAATCTTTCGTCTCTGGGTTCTTTCCTCAAGTTTTCGGGTCCGTTGACTTTTAAAAAATGAAGAAGGGATTCCAAAATCGAAGGTTTTTTCGTTTGACAGTTCGCACTTAGTAAAACAAAAAGCGCAAGGTGTAAAGTTTTCGCTAAAAACATGGTATTATTATTATTACTTGTTGTTAACTTTAAATGTTCGATCAATGAATCAAATCACCAAACGTTAAACCAACAAAAAAATCAACGAAAACGAAAAAAAAAAAAAACTTTTTACAATCGCGCGCGGAAAATTTTTAAAAAAAATGGAGAAACATATTTAATAAATAAAACGAAAACACAAAATGACGACGAATGCCATTTAAAAAAAAAAAAAAAAAGAAAATTATTCACAATCCACAATTTGAAACAAAAGGTTTTCCTAAAGGCTTTACTTTCTGTTAAACAAGATTTGAATTTAAAATCGATTCGTAGTTCTGATAGGTCGCCATGTTTTTGTTTCCTGGGTTTTTGGATTTTTTTTTTTTTTTAAATTTCGGCTTCGAAATTGCGAAAAATTTCCCGAGGGCAATAAGAAGGCATTCTTAAATTTCATTTAAAGAATTTTGTAATCTTTTTTTTTTTTTTTGTGTTTTCGTCGACGAAAAATGTATAAATAAATAATAAAAAAAAATCGATTTCGAACATGATTTGTATTTATTATTATTTTATTATTATTATTATTATTATTATTATTATTATTATTATTATTATTATTATTATTATTATTATTATTATTATTATTATTATTATTATTATAAACGAACGTCAGAAGTATTTCGAACAATTTTTTGACGAATTCAAATTTAATAATTAATTTATTATAATTATTTATTTATACAATCTTTAGGGTAAAGGTAAATTTTTTTTTTGCGGCCGGAAATGGTTCTGTAAATATTTTGCTGTTGTTTGCTGCTTTTCGGTGTTAAATGCCACGAATGTTGTTTTGCTGTTTGTTTTCCTTCCTACGATTTTCTTTCTTTTTTTTTTTTCCTAACTTGTATTGTAGCAGAGACCAGGCATTGTTCGTTTATAATTTTTAGTTGATTTTCTCATTAATTGTTTTTTTTTTTTTTGGGGGGACTGCTGACAGCTTAACTCCGGAAAAGCTTTTTATATTCGATTCGTAAACTTACATTAATTCCGTAGAAAAATAAATTTTCCAAGTTGACGTATATTCGAAATTCGAAATTCGAAAAAAAAATGACGATGAGTCGGTTGTCAGAAGTGATTAATGTTAAATTTTATTAAGGTTTCCCGGGAGAGGAGGAGGAGGAGGAGGAAATCATCTCGATTTTCACGAGTGTTATTGAAAGTAATTCTTTAAAAAAAAAATTATTTTAATACGAAACATGTTTTCATCTTTTTAACGAATTGATATCGTTTTAATTTTATTATCGCTATTATTATTATGATTTTTTTTTTCGGTAGAAAATTTCAAACGTAAGACACTTACTTGATTTGTAATTAAATTTATTTTTGCTTTTATTATTTCTTCGAAAACGCTCAAACTTTTACTATTTTAGTTTATAAATAAATTTTTGAAATTAATAAAAATAACAAAATTACGTTTAATCGAACGACAAATGTTGTTTTAACGTTTGTTGAGCAAGACAAATTATGAGTAAAAATTTGTAATATGATGTCGTTTTGAATTTTATTATATGAAATTAACACTCGTAAAACATCGTTATCATTATATTTCGGGGTAGAATGAAAAACACAATCCTACATATATATGGTAAAATGGGGATTTTCGGGAAGAGTTTGTTCGTTTTTTTTTTTTTTTACATTAGAATAGCTAATATAAATCCACGTGTACGTTACCTTAATATTTATTTCATTTAATTTCGTACGTGTATATTTATACGTTTACGTCACGTGGTTTCGTACACTAAAATTAAAAGTGTGTATAAGGTCACGCGTTTTCAAATAATATTTTCGAGTGTTTTTTTTTTTTTTTTTTTTTTTTTTTATGGAAACGAAAATAAAATATTTTATTTTTAATTTTTTTTTTTTTTTTATAAATATTTTAATTTGAAAACAATCGAAATTTTTTTTGGCGATTTTTCGCGTTTTTTTTTGTTTTCTAAACATTTCGATTGTGGATCTGTCCGTCCAGATGATGCTTTGTCCATAAATAATTCAACTTTGATAATTTTTAACCACAAAACTTTGTTTGTTTGTTCGAGTACGAAAGACTCTCTCTCTCTCTCTCTCTCTCTCTCTCTACCGTATTTTTTAAATATAAAATGATTTATTAACAATAAGTCAAAGGATAATTAATTTTCCCTGATTTTGTTGTTGTTTACCTTTGGCGTGGTTTTCAACGTTTCAAAAATAATAAATGCAATTTTTATAAAATTAATAAGGCGGAAATTGTGATGGCGGCAAAACAAAACAAAAAATTTATTTTAAAATATGAAAAGTTTAATCGATCGTGAAATCATTTTTTTTTTTTTTTATCGGATTGAGTAATTTTTTATTTACTAATAAAATAATATAATAATAATAAAAAAATAATGATATTTACTAATAAAATCGTGGATCGATAGTCAAAAACAATGTTTGGTAATTTTTTTTTTTTTTTTTGCAAATAAAATAAATTAATAATTTTTTAGTGTTTACCTTACGAATAAATAATTTCATTAAAAGCAAATTAATAATTATAATAATTTTTTAATTATTTTATTTAAACGATTTCATTTGTTTATTAAATCAAAAACAAACAAAAACAGTCGAATCTGGTAACAAATTATTTTACGAATTACGATAGAGAATTTTTATTTTTTTAATACTGCGGAAAAATTATAATTTTATTGGATAATTTCATCAAGATTTATAAATATATATTTATTATTATTATTATTATTATAAATTTACAAAAAGTAATTTTTTTTTTTTAACATGATTGATGATAGTTGTTTGCGTTTTAGACGTTTTCCATTTTTTTTGTTTTATGTCGTTTCATTTATTTTGTAAATGGTAGTGATTTAAAAAAGTCGTTGGCTGAAGTTTAGTATAAATATTTTGAAAAATATATCTATTATATATTATATTGCACGTTTTTCAATTATCGTCTGCGTAATTGTTTTTTTGCATGTTTCGTAATTATTATTACATAAAATTTTTTTTTTTTTTTTTTTAATATTATTTAAATAAATGAACTAATTGGATAAGTTTAATTTTACATGATCGGTGCAACTCGGTTATTAAAAAAATTTTTTTTTTATTTTTTAAATAAGGGCATTTTGCGCACTTTAAAAAATTTAATTACATATTGCACTTACATAATTTTTTTTTATATTTTACTTTACAAGTTAGCTTAACTAACATTTAAACACTTATTAAAAGGAAGATGCATAACACCTGAGATTTATTTATTTATTTATTTTTTTTAAAGTCGTTTTTACAAAAATTTTTAGCTTTTTTTATTAATTAATTACTTTTTACTAAACACGCGCTAATTATTTATTCTAAATTAAAATTAATCAACAACAACAACAACAATAAAAATCTCTAATAATTTTTTTTCAAAATAAAATTGAATGATATTGGAGGAGGGGGGGAGAGGGGAGAGGGAGGGGGAAATTCGATTTATTTTATGGTAACCTTTGTTTTTTTATCGTAACTGTGTTATCATTATTATTGCACTTTTAACTCGCGGTACTATTTTGCTTTGGTTCACACAAATTTAATTTTATCTTTTTATAATTTTCCTTTTGTAATTTGGCAACCAGTCTTCCTTGACGAGGTCAGCTCCTTTTTCCCCGATCATAATGACGGGCGCGTTAGTGTTTCCGCTCACTATCGTCGGCATTATGCTCGCGTCTATCACTCTAAGCCCTTTCACACCGTATATTCTCAGTCTGGGATCGACGACGGCATCCGGATCCCATTCGGGTCCCATTTTACACGTTCCCACGGGATGATAAATTGTCATCGATATATGGCGTATAGCACAATCCCAATATTCATCCGTTCCGAACGGAAATTGTCGGCAACCCGGTATCTGAGCTTTATGAAGCCTGCTATTGAAACGTCTAAACGCTTTCGATTCTCCTAATTGTGCTGCGATTTTGGCTCCTGAAATAATTATTATTATTATTATTTCGGTTTCTTCATCGACGTAAAACTTTTACGAAAATCGTTAATTTTTTTCACTACCTTCCACTAAAGTTGCGATATCCAAAGGATGATCGAAATAATTGGCGTTAATGATCGGATAGTGAAACGGATTTGAACTTCTCAACCGAACCCAACCTCTCGATTTAGGCCTTAAAAGGAGTGGCAAAATTGTGAATACATCGTGGTTAGCTATTGGTTTATATACGGCATTGTATAAACGATCCGTCAAACCTAAAATCTTTCGAACCCTAAGACCTGAAGGAAAAAAAGATTAATATGTATTGTTATTCGGTAGCATCACGCTCGTAAATCCTTATTAATCAATCATTTCATTTGATGTATATATTAGTATTTATTTGCGAGAGTAGTACCTGCATCGGAATTGACGGATGCCGGTGCAAAGTGGTACTGAATATCCGGATAATTGTCTGATTTATTAGCATATTTTGTATTTATGAAAGCAACAGCTTCCAATCCGCCTAGACTCGTCATAGGCCCTCTTTCGTTGATAACATAATGAGTTGTCACTGGCACAGTTTGAAATCTATCTTGTACAATGGATACAGGTTGATCAATTAAAAAAGTCATGCCACCTAGACCCACGTGATCTTGAAGGTTTTCACCTACCTAAAAAAAAAAAAAAAAAAAAAAAAATGAAACCTTGACATCGAAATAAATTTTATTTTTAATTAATTTTTCTTTTTTTTTTTTTTGTTTGACGAGTATCAAACTCACTTTTAAATTTTGAACTACTGGAATTTTTAACGATTGTAAATGTTCTCGGGGTCCTATTCCCGAAAGCATCAACAATTGTGGAGTGTTAATGGCACCTGCTGACATTATGACTTCTTTTCTCGCATAGGCAATTTGTTTGACGCCGTTTCGAATAAATATCACGCCGTAGGCTTTATTAATTTTAGGATTTATTAAAATTTTAATAACTTGACTTTTCATAGCCGTGTGTAAATTTTTCCGAAGTCGAACCGGCCTGTAAAATTTAAATAAAAAAAAAAAAAAAAAAGGTAAAAAAAAAAAGGTAAAAATTTTATACTAAAGTGATATAAAAATAAAAATGTCTTCTTATCCGAGTCTTTTAAAATACTTGCAAGTAGTTCAAAAAATAAAAAAAAAGTTTGTCGGTTTGTTCTGTAAAAAAAAAGTCTAATAAAAGTCGTGATATTAGTTTTTAAAATGTTTTAAAGTTTTTAGTTTTTTCTTAGTTTTTTAGTTTTTTGTTTTTTTTTTCACGTGGTTTTTAAAAGTCCGGATTTTACCTTAGAAACGCCTTTGCCGTACTACATCGTGATCCCCTTCTGAGTGTGCCCTGAGCCAACATGAATCCCGTTTGACTAGCTCCATTAATGTCTACGTTATCGTATCCTATTTCTTGTCCTGCTTGAACAAATGCTAGTGATAATGGCGTTCGCCAAGGCGCTTCTTGAACCGTCAAATATCCTCCCCTAAAAAAAAAAAAAAAAAAAATTTGAAATTTTAGGAAAATTTTTTTTCGATTTAACGATCGTGGTAAATTTTAAATAATAATAAAAATCATTTCATCGTAATTTGCGCTTTCTAGAAATTTAAATTAATTTTTTTCATTTTTTTTTTATTTTTTGGCGGGAAAAACGTTTAAAATTTCACTTTGAAAATCAAACGTTTACGGTTTTACCCGTTATTTATTTATTTTTTTTTTTTTTTGAGACGAATTGTGCTTGAAGTGATTCAATTTATTAAAGTTCGTAAGAATTATTTAAATAATTTAAATCAAGGGTTATAACTTATTATTATTATTATTATTATTATTATTATTATTATTTTATTATTATAAAGCGTTCGGTTCAAAGTGAAAATTTAAAAAAAATTAATTTTTTAATCGGTTAATATCGAAATGAAAAAAAAAAAAAAATTACGATGATGAGGGTTCAAATTTTACTAAACTTTTGATACAAAATTTATTATTATTATTATTATTAATATTATTATTCGTTTTTCAACCTTTGACATGTTGAAATAATTTTTTTTTTTTTTACAAAAATTAAATAACTTTTTTTTTAAAAATTATTTCAACCGGAAAAAAAGAAAAAAGAAAATTTTCCTTGATGACTTTCACTTTTCACGAATTTATTCATTCGATGATGTTAAATAATTGAAAACGTCGTCGAGGAAAATAGGATGGAAAAAAAAAATGAAAAAAAAAAAAAAATGTTTTCGAATTATCGTCGTAAATATAAAAAATACGAATAAATAAAAATTTCACAAAATTAAAACAAGTGGGCCGCAGGTGAAAATAATAAAAAAAAAAAAAAATTTTTTTACCTGTTGAAAACGCGTTTCGAAAATATTTTTTTGCCGGATGTAAAAAGCATTTTTTTTATACTCGATTTCTTATTGGTTGAGGCAACTTTTCAAATTTTACATTCACAAATTCGAAAGGGGGGAAAGAAAAAAAAAAATAAACGTTATATCGACACATGTAAAGAAAGATAAGAAATTTAATTGATAAAATAATATATATAATTATTTATTATTATTATTATTATTATTATTATTTTTTCTACTGCTTCGGATACATAATTTTTAGTTTATTATTAGTCGACTAGTCAAAAAATAAAAAAACATACCTCGAGTGATATTTGGTTCTTGCCAAATAGGGATTTCTATTGTCTTCGCTTTTTTTGAAATAGTAGAGCGCATCCGGATAACCCCATCCCGGATTTCCCAACGATTCCCAATGTTCGTAGTCTTTTTTATTACCCCTAACATATACCATGTAATTAAGAACGCTCGAACCACCAAGGACTTTTCCTCTTGGCCAGTTACATCGTCCGCCTAAAAAAAAAAGTTGAAAAAATTGATGGTTAGGAGATGATGATGGGGGAGACCGGGGGGGGGGAAATGTGAGAGAGAAGAATGACGTGAAATATTTCTGTTCGTACCTTTCATTCCGAGGCAGGCTTTTCCTGTTGGTTCAGTCTTATATTGCCAGTCTAATCGACTGAGTTGTAAAAAAGCAGCTAAAGCCGGAACGTCCGATATTTCATTTTCGTCGGGTCCGGCTTCAAGAAGTAAAATTTTCCAATCTGGTATTTCCGACAATCGACTTGCCACAACGGCTCCTGAAAAGAAAAAAGAAAGAAAATCTCGTCGTCACGTGCAAAAAAAAAGAAGGCAGACGTTTATCAATTTTGAAATGATCATCTCACCTGCTGAACCTCCGCCGACCACAATAAAATCGTATTCCTTGTACAATGGATATTGATCTATGGGACGGGATTCGGGATCGAGTGAATCGTAGCGATAATAAGCGAGACCGGCTATAAGAAGAGGTATCAACCACAAACCGGTACCCACGACGGATATGGCAGTCTTCAAGGCTGCAGTCACCGTAAGGATGGACAGGAAAACGACCATTCTTATCAATCGTTTGATAATTAACGGTTTCTGGCATCGTCTAACGTGTTTTTAATTGTTCATTAGCAACTTATTGCTCATTTTATTGCCAACTTGATTTACAATGTTTAATTTTTTTTTTTTTTTTTTTTTTTTTTTTTTTTTGTTTATTGGAAAAAATTATTTCTGAAAAAAAAAAAAGGAAAAATTATTCTTTATGTTTTTGAATTATTATTATGTTTGTGCGTCACGTGCACACACGCACACACACACACACGTGCGTTTGTCGTTGTTATTTTTTGATTTGAGAAACAAAAACAAAAACAAAAGTTTGCAATTTAATTTTGTGACTAATCAAATCGTTATAATTTTTTTCTTTTCTTTTTTCGAAATGATTTTTTTTTTTTTTTTCGTTCATTTTACTCATTTTTTCCGAACGTCATAAAAATTGATGATGAATGAAAATTCTAATAATAATAATAATAATAATGTGGAGAAGGAGGGTAATAAAATTTTTTTTTAAATTGAAAAAAGTTTTTAATGTTTTTCGAAATGTTGTTGTTGTTTTGTTTTTTTTTATTTAGTTAAAATTTTTTTTTAAGGCAATAAATCAATAATTGCAATTCAAAATTTGTGGCAGAGGGGGGGGGGCAGGGGTCAGGGGCAGAGGGAAATTCTATTTGAATAATTTATATTTTTTTTTTTAGAAAAGAGATTTCGGAAAACTTTCACAAACGATTTTCGGGTGTATAAAAAAAAATGTCTTCGATTCGTTTAAATAAAATTCTAAATATGATTGAAATGAGTTAATGTTTGTTTCTGTTTTTTAAAACAAACATTTGTTTAAACAAAACAAACGATAAAAGAGTAAAAAATAAAAAATAAAAATTTTAATATTACTTTTTCGAAAGTAAAAAAAATAATAATAATTACTTCTTTCGTAGTAGTTTGTTCTTCCGCTTGGTCACATTTATTTACGCATTTAAAAAAAAAAAAATTTTTTTATTTTTTTTTAAAAGGAAACGTAACTAATTGTTTGTTTGTTTGTTTGTTTGTTTTGTTTTTTCCATATTTTCATTTCGTTTTACTCAATTAATTAATTAATTAATTAATTAATTTTTTTTTTATATTAATTAAAAATTATTTTGTTTATTAATTTAGCGTCCGATTTAATTATAAAACTTAACGCGCGCTTTTCTTTTCATTTCATTTTTCGAATTAATAAGAAAGAAAATTTTTAAGTCAATATTACGTATAAATAATTTTCTTTCTTTTTTTTTGTGTAATAAAGAGAGAAAAAAAAAGAGAGAGTGAGAAAAAAGTGAAAATTAAATACATAACAAACAAACAAACAAACAAACAAACAAAAATATTGAATTTCTCATCTAAATATGGATGATGAAAAAAAAAAAAAGGGGGGGGGGAACGCATAATGGAAACGCGACCGACCGAGATCGTTTTACTCCATTTTTCTTTTTTTTTTGTTTTCCAGGAGTAAAAAAAGTTTTGTAAAAGTTGGAAATTTAAATTTTGGAAATTACCCCGCCTTTTAAATTTTTATTCAAATTTTTTTAACACGAGTAATAATAATAATAATAATAATAATAATAATAATAATAATAATAATAATAATAATAATAAATAATATAATTATCAGATCAATTAAATTTAATTAAATTACGATTTAAACGTCGCAACTTTCGTTTTCTTTCTTCTTAAAAATTACGATTATTAAATTATTATTATTATTATTATTATTATTATTATTATTATTATTATTATTATACGAACGGAATCACGCGTTAAAAAAAGTATTCTAGATTTTTAAAAAAAAGAAAGACTCGTTTAAAAACAAAAAAAAAAAAAAAAATTACTAAAGAATTCAGATTCGGGCGAAAACAAAAAAAAAGAAAAAAGTTTAAAAGTGAATGTTTTAATTGCGTGGGATGCTGGAAAGGATCAAAATCGAAGTCGTTTGCTTTGTAAAAAAATTTTTAGTGTGGGGGGGGGGGTAAAAAAAAATTCATGACTTTCTTTTTCGTAACCGTCAACACTCCCTTTTTAAATAAGAAAATTATTTTTATTGATTATTATTATTATTATTATTATTATTATTATCATCGTCGAATTATTACCGTACGCGAGTCGATGATTGCGTGAAAGGGGGAAAATTTTCTTTTTTTTTTTTTTTTAGCTCATGGAAAACGGGAACGTTGGAAATTTTTTAAAATTTTCCGCCGGTTCGATTATCATTATGGCTGAATTTTTTTTTTTTTTTTTTTTTTTGATGGATTTGTAATTTCTTTTCTCTTAAATTTTTTTTTTTTTTTTTTGGGTCATTGGCGAATGATCAGTAATAGCTCTCGAGAAGAAAGAATATATTTATTTCCAGTTGCTCTCAATTTTCTTTTTTGAATTGTAGCTGCATCGTTAGTCATTGGGAAAATAATAATGATCGTTCCGTAACACGACATGGAAAAAAACTTGACCCGAAAATCATTGCTTACCTTGGTCACTGCTATTATTATTATTATTATTATTATTATTATTATTATTATTATTATTATTATTATTATTATTATTATTATTATTATTATTATTATTATTATTATTATTATTATTATTATTATTATTATTATTATTATTATTATTATAGTTTCGTTTAGTAATGAAGAACGTTATGTAAAATGTGTGAGGTTACCATTAAGAAGAAAAGAAAAAAAAATTTAAATTCCAAATTTTTAGGTTTAAGAAAAGGTTTTAAATTCCATTCGGGTTGATAATAATAATAATAAATAAATTTTAACGAATAAAAATTATTATAAATCACGACAACAACTTTCTAAATCGAATGCATTCCTTAAAAAAAAGGAGAGAAAGAGTGAGAGAGAAAGAGAAAGATGGGAAAAAAATAATAATAATTATAACATGCCATAGAAGTAATTATTTTATTTTTTTATTAAACATTCGATGGGGAGGTGGGAGGGGGGGAAAACAAGAAGCAGGTTCTTTTTTTTTTCAATCGTTACCTAAAGTAAAATTCGACGTGTCATCAGACGTATTTTTTTTTTTTTTATAAAATTAATATTATTTTATTCGATTTTAAATCAGACGATAATCGTAGTAAGAAAGTATGAAGAATGGTTGAAAAAGTTTCGCGATTGTCTACTCCTCATGACGACCGACGCCTTGTTGCGAATTTTATTTATTTATTTATTTATTTTTTTTTTGGCGCGCTCGAAACGTTATTAAAATATCTTTTTAATAAGCTCACTTAAAATTCAAAAAATAATCGGCATGGCTGCCAAATTAACAACGATAATAGGAGTAAAATTAATTGGCATCGTCGCACACGAAAGGATTTGTGCATGCATGTTTACGTAAGGAATGGGAACGACAATTAAATTACGTAATCGAAATAATGCCGAAATTATATCACAATTTATTATTATTATTATTATTATTATTATTGTGTTGTTGTTGTGTATATCATCATTATTATCGACGACGTTTTTTAAGTTTTTTAAATTCAATTGTGTCGTCAATTTTGTTTTAAAGTCGTGATTGATAGATAACTTTCGTTTAATTTGTTTTTGTTTTTGTTTTTTTTTTTTTTTTCCCCTTATTAAACTTATGCGAGAGATAATAATGATAAAGTTTACGCATGCGTATAATATACGCAAATGTTAAATAATTATCATTATTATGACAATGATAGTTTATAACAAAAAATTTACGACAATTTTTTAAATTGATTAATTTGATTAACGTTTCGAGGAAATTATAATTTTTTTTTTTTTTTTTACTTTCAGTCGAATCAAATTAATAAATTCCTGATTTTATTATCATCATCATCATCACCATCATCATTATTATTTTTTCAGGCTTATGATTGTAATTAAAAAAAAAAAAAAAAAAATCGCTCTTGGTCGAATTATATAGTGAAATTATTAAAATTATTTACCATTAATTCCAATTGTAATTGTTTGTAAGACGATGAAAAAAAAAAAAAAAAAAAAAAGATCGGGGCAGTAGAAAAATATAAATCTTAATCGGCGGGAACATTTTGTTTTTGTTTTTGTTTTTGTTTTTCTCCCTTTCATCGAAAGTAAATTATACAGGAAAAAAAAATTGTGTTCAATCGATTATTTATGTTTTATCATTATTATTTAAACATTAAGAACTGTGATTGTGTTTTACATCGTTGAAAAATAGTTATTGATAATGATAATAATTTTTTATTTGTTTAGACTAATTTTTTAACGACGAAAAGGTGTTTGGCATTTATTTCGGTCAGACTTAATTTAAAAAAAAAAAAAAAAAATGTACGGAGAAATTATTTCGAATAAACTCATTAGTAAGAAAAAAAAAAAAAAAAAAAGGTAAAAGGTATGACATAATTCCCCATTTTTTTTTTTTTGTTTTAATTTTAATTTTAAAAAAAAAATTTCCAATATTCAAAAATTGTTTAGGGTTTTGCTCGAGGGATTACGTGACCCGTTCAACGGTTTTTTTTTTTTTTTTTTTTTTTAAAAAACCCCAACGTTGATTAGGGAAAGTTGAGTTTTAAAAAAAAAAAAAATGTTTTTTTTTTATTAATAGATAAAATTTCGGAAGCGGAACATAATTATTAACCGCGTGGGCGTTCAGGTAACACGTTGTTGTTGTTGTTGACTTCACATCGGGACGTCCCACTCGCGTATTTTTTTTTTTTTTTTTAATTTTAAATTTTTCCCCCAGGTTTATGGGTAAACCCGAAAGAAATTACATAATTTTTTTTTTTTTTTCCATCCCTCCCTTCCTTCCAAAAAAAAAAAAAGAAAGGAGGAGGTTGAAAAAAAAAAAAAGGAAAAAAAAAATTGTATTTAAAAACTTTTTAAAAAAGGTTTATATTTTTAAAAGTTTGATTTTTAT